TTCTCGACGCATTCATAGCGTCAAGGATATCGCGCTGGCGAGGGCCAGCACCCCGCCCACGAGCGTACACGCGCCATAAATTTATTCCTGTAGAGTTGACGTATGCCAAAGCTGTGCAAGAACTGTCACCACAACATGGGACTGCGATGTATTGGCGTTGTGTCGAAGATATTTACTGTACCACGTGCAGAACTGCGTTCACAACCGGGCGTCTTTCTACAATTCCCAAATCGAACTGCTCGACGAGACAACGAAATAAACACTTTGCGCCGTCGCCGCACCTCGGCGCCCCGTTGCTGCGTGCTATTCAAGTCGCCAATGGAGCCTATATGGACCAAGTCTTAAGGGACCATGCCATCCACATTAATTCCAGTTCCGTCCTTCCCGTTCATGTGGCAGAAGTGGCCGATGCTGTCGCGGAAGGCCTGCTTCGCAACCAGCACAACATTTAAAAATTGCAATGCATGAGCACTTCACACAGTAGCATGCCATGCTTCTCTGTGTCGGAGCTACTGACGATTACATGTACAGACGCAACCAGCCTCTTTGCCACCATTCACATTGGCAGTGCCACGGTAGGCATATAATTAGGTATAAAAATTGTGGTGGCGGGAATTGAACCCGCACCCTGATTGACCAACATTAGCACCGGAGGTTTTTCCAGTCGCTCAATTTGATATGTATATATATTATGGACTTATACAAGATTAAGACATTGTTGGATTTACTTTGAGCGTGTAAATTTGCAGTTTGCCGTCGAGTCCGTTTTGCGGAGCTCTACAGTATAGCATGTACGGGATTTGTAAATTGGTTTTGGTTATTACTATAGTATTCGGTATATTTCTCTATCTTGAACACGCCGAATCCACTCTTCTTGTACGCTGCCTTGTAGGTCCTATGGGAATTTTGCCAAGCCCACGAAACTGTACCGGTATTACGGACCTCTTAGCTGCACGAGGGTCTGCATCAGTGGGGCCAACAGAAGCCTTCGCTGCGCCAGCTTCACGAACTCGACGCATTTCAGCCGACACCAAATTCTATAGGGTAGTGGTCACATTGGTTAAGAAAATATCGAGACGTGTACCCTGAGCTTTTTGTCGTCGTCGATGCCCAGAGCTCGGTCGATCGTCATGCGGTGATCCTTCCACTTCTGCGGCGTGGTGAGGCCGTCCTTGCGCATAGCGTGGGCGATGAGGTCATGGTTGCCTTCGCTGTCAGTCGGCTCGGCGTGGACTGCAGTGGTGCTGGTCTGCTCCAACGTGTGCCTTTTCGATGCCATTTCTGCAAATGCCACGTAAGTTCGGGCCAATCAAACGCTGTCAACATTATTCAGACCCATCACACCATTAATCGAAATCGAACACTATTTAAGCGGTTGGCAACCGTCACCCGCTTTAACACGCCACCGTTGGCCAGTTTTCACGACATATATATATGGGTTTTGAGAAAAAACCTGCTGCAAAATGCAGAGCGAAACGAAACTAATAGTGTGCACCCGACCTGCCGACGAGCGATGGACGAGCTACCGACAAGCTTCCAGAGCACCAAGAAGCCGCTGTACGTGCCCAAGACCAAGGCGAAACCGAAGGACAGCGGCTACGAGCGGCGCAACGTAGGCCAGGCCAACCAGCGCAACAAGCGCCCGCGGTAAGACGCTTGCAGAGTGCGACGATGATGACCGCTCGCGTAGACACCAGCAGGCCTCGTCGGCGACGTCGCACTACCGCCCGCAGCCAGCGCAAGCATCAGCGCCGACGAGCGCGTTCGGACGGAGCTTCTTCAAAGAGTCGTTTCTGGAAGACCCGTGGCGCGAGCTCCTCGAAGGGCGGCCAGCCCGTGAGACCCCGCCCCGAGCGGCGTCGGGCAGCGCTGGCTTTGGTCGATCGCTCTTCCTGCCGTCGTTCTTGGAAGATCCGTGGGCCCCGCTGCTAAGCCATGCGTAATGCAACGTTGTACGACGAGTCGACTTTTTCTTGTGCAGCAACCAACACGATGGCTGGTGTTTCGACGCGAGGCAACGCTGCTCTGCACGACTCCTGCGTCTGGCGTCTAGACGAGCGCGTACCAAGTATCTGGGCTACTCGCAGAAGACGTCGGCGGTGAGATCTCAAGGTCGCGTCGCAGCCACGTGCCGCCGACTACACTGCGGCGAGTTTCCACTGCCATCAAACGACAGCGCGTGGTCGCAATCGCTCTGGACCATCAAGCTTGGAAGGGTCACGCTGGATTCCTTGCATATCGTTTCGGGCGAAACGACTGCGATGGGCGGCGACAAGTTGGCCGCGCTGCTGGCCAAAGCCAAAAGCCTCGAAAAGCAAAAGCAGCCGGTCCCGCAGGTCCGGCGCGACGTCAACTGGTGGGTCGCCCGGTATGGCTGCGCCGTGACGCCCGCCAGAGAAAAGGACGCGCCGGCCGCGGAGGCGGTCTACCACGCCATTGTAGCCAACGACGTCCGCGCGCTACGCCACTGTTTAGAGGCCCACCGCCACTTGTGCTTTGTCAAGGTACGATGCATATCATCATGTGCCGCAAGCACCGAACGACTCGTGCTAGCTCTTTGTACGTCCTATATGAAGCTCATTGCCAAGCTCATCGTGCTTTCGCCGCATGTACAGGGCGAGAACAAGGTACTCCGAGCCCATCGACCATTGACCATTGTGATCGCCGTCTTGTAGCGCACGGCGCTGTACGTTGCGAGTGCCCTTGGAAAGCTCGAGTGTGTGAAGGAGCTCTTGAAGCACGGCGCCGACCCGTAATTGCTGGCAGCGTCCCAAGCGTTGAAAGCAAAATGCATCTAGGCGCGTGGCCTGCGACGGCTACTTGCCCGCGGACGTTGCAGGCGCCTATGCGCGCGACCCGGTCGCGACGATGAAGATCAAGCACCTCTTTGGCGGTAGTACCATGGCGTCGGTCGTGCAGGGATAACACTCGGTTCTGGCTAGCGTTTCCGCGCCCCCAAGTGCATTTGGTGCCCCACCCGACGAGCAAAGGTGAGCGATAGACTTCGGCATTGCGAAACGATAGGGTCAACGGAGTAGAGGGCCGGTGCCGCGTCGACATTCACTTTAGCGAGCCCGTTTGGGACTTTGCGCCCACCGACGTCGTCGTGACGGGCTGCGTGTGCGTCCACTTGACGCTCTACACGGACGACTTTTTCGCTGTCCATCTCCAGCTCCACGGCCCCGCGTCAGTGACCGTGCCTATGAACGCAGCTCGGCGCAAGGGGTCTGGCCTCCCCAACGACGCGTCGATCACGGTTCATCTCGAGTGGCATCAATAACTACTGACCATTCTTGCTATCAGGACAGAAGACTGTATTCGTATGTAGTACAGGAGTGGAGTAGATGGCTGGCCAACAACTTGCCTTGAAATTGTGGACGCAGGCTGCAACGGAGGTGACTCGAAGCAGTAGCAACGAGCAGGCCCGTCAATTAGCACGAGGCGCTAAGCTGCACCAAGCCGCACCATGCTGCTTGGTGCGGCCGCTCGTTCTAGGCGTCGGGAACATCGTTGCGTGTTCTAATCCATGCGGTGGCCCACTTCTTCCCTCGTACAGATGTAGCACCCATCTTGATGCGCCTGCTACCGACTTTGGCGGGGCAAGGGGCAGCTGAAAAGCGTGGCTGTGGCGATCTTCGGGCGCGTCCTCGTCGCTGATTGGCTCCAATGACGCGCGAACGCTGGTATTTTTAAAGGCGTCCAAAAATCTCAAACTCAAAATCAAAATGGCGGGTGACTGGCGCATTTTATAGGCGTAGTTGTGTTTTTTATTCCGGGAGAGAGGCCGCAAGATGGAGGAAAACATCGACGTCTGCATCCGCGTCCGGCCGCTCAACGAGCGCGAGAAGCGCAACAAGGACGTGAGCGTCCTGCGCGTCCTCCCGGCGCTCAATGCGATCTCGATCACGGACCGCCATGGCACGCCGCTGCAGGGCCCGACCGCGGTCTTCCAGTACGACCACATCTTCCAGCAGCGCGTGCCCACGAGCACGATCTACGACCAAGTCGCCAAGCGCATCGTGCTCTCGACGCTCATGGGCGTGAATGGCACCATCTTCGCGTACGGCCAGACCTCGTCCGGGAAGACGCACACGATGACGGGCGAGGCGGCCGAGCCGGGCATCCTCCCGCTGGCCGTGCAGCACATCTTCCAGTACATTGCCGACTCGACAGACCGCGACTTCCTCATCCGCGTCTCGTACGTTGAGATTTACAACGAAGTCATTCGCGACCTCCTCTGCGACGACAAGGACAAGGGCCAGAACGTCAAGATCCGCGAAGACCCGAAAAAAGGCATCTACCTCGAGGCGCACGAGGAGTTCATTACGGACTTTGATACGATCATGCGCCTCGTCGACCAAGGCAACGCGCGCCGCGCCGTGGGCCAAACCTCCATGAACGAGCACTCGAGCCGGTCCCATAGCATCTTCCAGATCGTGATCGAGTCCAAGGAGCGCGGGCCCGAGAAGGACGACGGCGTCGCGTACCTCGTCGGCGTCCTCAACCTTGTGGATCTCGCGGGCTCGGAGAGCGTCCGCCACACGTCGTCGGAAGGGGCGCGGCAGCGCGAGGCCGGCAACATCAACCGGTCGCTGCTCACGCTCGCACGCGTCATCAACTCGCTCGCACAGGGGCCCGAGAGCGTCCAGAACGCGCCGTTCCGAGACTCGAAGCTCACGCGTCTCCTCCAAAACTCGCTCGCTGGCTCGACGCGAACGCTCATCATTTGCTGCGTGACGCCGTCGGACCGCCACCTCGAAGAGTCCAAGAGCACGTTGCAGTTTGCAGCCCGCGCCAAGACGATCCAGATGAGCGCGACGGTCAACGAAGTGCTGGACGACCACGCACAGATGCAGCGGCTCCAGCGCGAAGTCAACGAGCTCCGGAAGAAGCTGCTGGGCGACGTGTCGTTCAACGCGCTTCTGGCTGAAAACCAAGCACTTTCGGAAGAGAAGCGGCGGCAGCAAGAGAAGATCGAGCGGCTCCAAGGGCTCATTGTCACGGGCCGCGCGTCGCTCGAGCCCATCGACATGAAGAAGACCAAAACCAAGCGCGCGAGAGAGACGTGGGGCCCTGGCGAGATTGCAGCCGTTGCGACGGCCGCCCGGCACGGGTTTACGACATACGACGAGGAAGAGAAGGAAGAAGGCAGCGTCGCCAAGAAGCGCAAGGGCCGGTACTCGGAGGGTAGCGTCGTCGACGCGGCCATTGCGATCGAGCACGCACGCACGGTCGAGCTCCTCAAGCGCGAGCTGGCCCAAGTCAAGCTGGCGCTCGAGGACAGCAAGGCGCAGCCGCCTGCATGCGCGCACTGTATCGCGGCGGACGAGTCGGTCCGCGACTTTGAAGCGCTTTTGGAAACCATGTCGGCCGACCGCGCGAACCTCAAGGAGAAGCTGACCGCAAGCGAAGCTGCCGTCGCGGAGCTGCAAGCCAGTGTGGACGCGTCGACGAGCACGATTGCGAGCTTGGAAGAGAAGCTGGACGAGCAAACCAAGATTGCTGCGGCGTTTGAGGAACTCCTGGAGAACGCATCCCAGACCAGGAACGACCTCGAAGAAGCGTACAACGACGAGGTCGAGAAGGTCAAGGCGCTGGAGGCGCAGGTGGGCGACGTTGAGAAGGTCGCGAGCCTCCAGTCGCGCTTGGAGGAGCAAAACCACTACATGGAAGAGCTCGAGAAGACCCATGCGCATCTGCGACTCCACTACGAGTCGGAGCTGGAAGCGCTCCGTGGTCCGCCCAAGGAGCCAGAGCTCGTGGCCCAGCTCCAGAGCGCGCTGGACGAGGCCGAGAACAAACTCACGCAAGCGCTCGCCGACGCGGCAGCTGCGCAGGAGAAGTGGGAGCTCCAGATCCAAGCGCTTCAGTCCGAGAACGAGGCGCTGGCGTCCGCCAACGACAGTGCGCAGGACGCGGCGGCCATCCAGATGGAAAAGGAAGCGATCCAGTTCCAGCTTGAGGCGCTGCAGCGGCAGCTCGATGCCGAGCTCGAGCGCCGCGTTGACGACGACACCGAGTGGGCGGCCAAGGTCGACCAGCTCACGCAAGACGTCACGACGCTGGCCGAGCAGCTCCAAGCCGAGAAGGACGACAAGGCGGCGGTCGAAAATGCGCTGACGACCCAGTTGCAGTCGATTGAGAAGGACCTCGAGACGGCGCTCTCCGAGCACAGCCGCGCGATGCTCGCGGCGCGTGAATCCACGGCGTCGACCGAGGCGATTGCACGCCTCCTCGAAGAAGATCTCTTGTCGGCCAAAACCGCCCATCACGAAGTCGAGTCCGGTCTCCGCCAGCAGATCGCAGACGCTGAGACACGCGCGACAGCCGCGGCCGCGGCTCGCGTCGCTCTTGAAGAGGACCTCGCGGTGCTCCAAGGAAAGTTGCAGTTGGCCGAGGGATCTGTCAACGACCAAGTCACTGCTCTCTCGACGCAAGTACACGCGCTCCTCCACGAGAAGGCAGAGCTCGAGGCCAAGCTGATTGCCGCCGCTGAGATCACGACGCAGCTTGAGACGCTGCAACATGAGAAGACCTCCATGTGCAGTGCGATGGAAGCCCTCGAGCTGTCGCTGGCCGAAGCCCAAGACAAGGTCACGCGGCTTGGATACCTCGAGACGCAGGCGTTCGAGGAGAAGCAAGCGCTCCAAGTTCGCGTCCAAGAGCTCACGAGCGACCTTGAGCAGCTGACGTCGACGCGGGCGACGACTGCGTCCGAGGAAGCCGCGGCGTTGCAAAGCGCGCTGTACACGCTCCAGGTTGAGCATCAAGCACTGACCGAGCAGATCCAGCGCCTCGAACAAGACAAGCACATGCTCGAGACCTCTGTGGCAAGTGACCATGCGCTTCACGCGAGCCGCATTACGTCGCTCGAAGACAAGATCCGGACGCTGGCGCAAGAGCTCGTGGAGGCGGCCAGTGTGCACGTGGCCGAGATGACAGCGCAGAGCAGCGTGTGGGCCGACGAGCGCACGTCGCTCAAATCGGCGATAGCCACGCTCGAGGCCAGCGTTCGCGAGAAGGACGATGCGATCGAGGCGCACGGACGGACGATGGCCAAGCTTGAAGAAACGCTCGAGGCCAACCAAGATGCGATGTACGCTCAGCGCGTTGCGCAGCACCAGGCACTCTCGGCGGCCGAGGCGGCGCTAGCGACTGCCAACGAGCACGTGGCGGCGCTCATGGCGGCCAACGAGGCGCTGGAAGCGAAGGCGGCGGGCTTGGACGCAAAAGTGGACGAGCTCCAAGCGCAGCTGGACGTCGCCGACGTGGCGTCGACGCAGGTGCGCACTCTCCAAGACGACAAGTCGCACCTCGCCGCGCAAGTCGCGCGCTTGACGACGGCGCTCGAGGAAGAAGCGTACGAGAAGAGCGTGCTCGAGAAGGACTTGGACGAGGTCCGCGCGACGCTGGCCGAAATGGAGACGGACCGCAGCAAGGTGCAGCGCAGCCTCGAGCTCGATGCGGAGCAACAAATCGCCCAGGTCGTCGAAGAGAAGGGCATGTTGTACGAGCAGATTGAAGGGCTCCAAGCCGACTACAAGCACATCCAGAAGGGTACAACGCGAGAGCATAGTATCATATATCGCAATGGACGTGTAGAGCTCGAGCTCGTCAAGGCGAGCGAGCGCTCGCTGCGGCAGGAGCACACGGCGGTCCGCGACGAGCTCGACGTCGCCCGATCGCGTATCACAAAGCTAGAGCTTGTCAAGATGACCAAGCACCACTTGGAGATCTTCCAGACGCTCAAGCTCGACAACAAGAAGAAGACGCAGGAAATTGCATCGCTGAGCGCCAAGCTCGCGGCCATACCCACCACGTCCGAGGCCGAGGTTCCTGCTCAAACACAGCGTCGTGGAGGCCCATCAACCGCGCGTAGGTGCGCGAGCTCGAGGCGCGTCTTCGTGCCGAGCACGCCAAGCGCTCGGATCTCGAAGACAAAGTGGTACTACAGAGAGAGACGCGCAAAAGATCTCACGAAGCGCGTAGACGGAGCTGAGCCTCTCGGTCAAGACCATGCAGAATGAAGTCAAGATCAAGGCGGCCGAGTCCAGCGCGCTCCAGAGCACGATCGAGCAGTACGAAGTGCAGCTGCAAGAGCTCGATGACGAGCTGCGCCGGAGCAAGGAGGCCCTCCAAGCGAGCGAAGAAGCCGCGAAAGCCAGCGCTGACAGCGAGCCAGCGTACCTCGTCAACGAGAACCTCCAGCTCCACTACGAGGTCAAGCACTTGAAGAAGCTCCTCGAAGACTACTCGCCGAGCGCATTGACGGCGCTCCAGCCGCCGGTCGCCCCGCCGGGCTTCACCGCCGCGACGCCGGCCAAGAGTTATGCGCCCGTGTCGGCGTCCGGAAGGAAGCTGACGCCGAGCAAGACGACGCCCTTGCGAAGTGCTGCGCTGCTGCACGAGCCGGCACCCGAGCCCGAAGCCGAGAAGCCCGAGTGCAAGCAGCAATAATGCAACAACGTTCGTGGTATTGATTGTATGCTTAAAGCAGCTTGATGAAGACCTTGTCGTTGACGCCCTTGAGGAGAAGCTGGCCCGGGTAGTCGATGACCTTCTTGCGCTTGGCGGCGCGGAGCGTGCCCATGAGCGCCTCAAAGAGGTCGACGCAGCGCTCGTCGTCAAAGAGCTCGCCGAAGGTGACGCCAAAGGCCACGCTGCCGTCAGGCGCCGTCTCGTCGCGGCCCAGCCGGCGGATCTCGACCGCGAGCTGCTGCACTTCCTTGTCGACCTCCATTGCTACGGTACCTCGCTGGCTCAAATGACGGATCCCACAGCCCAGAAACCCAGCAAATCCCACTTTTTTCACGTTTATCACAAGAGGTTTAATATAAAACCACTTGGGAATCACGCGTTTAACCTTCGTGCCCAATCTGTGTGAGCAATGGCTGGCGCCATTGAAGCCGATAACGTCGCAGGCCGCTCCTATTACCACACTACTGCCAGTACATATACCACCGGTAGTCGCACTGCGAGCTCGCTCCTTTCACCCGCGCCTTTGCCATCATTTGAGCCCGCGTCCGTCATGAGCGATCCATCGAAACTGGTTGCATTTGGCGGCTTGCCAGGCTGCCACGTGGATGTATCATTGGCGACATCCTGCCTCGATCAAGTCTTTGAGCACCGACCGACAATATGAGATGATCCGAGACTCGCAGGCTCCGACATAGCAAGCGCTGGAATTCCGATGTCGACAGACAGGTCCACGCATGTGCTTGCCATCTCACTCCAATCTCAGGTCACGATTCATTTCCTTCGTGTCGTGCGAGTCCTGATTTCCCACTCGGCCGTCAGTCGAAGAACGTCAGTACAAAGCCTCTGGGGCGCTCCTGCACGAAAGCAGTGGAGTCGTTGCAGAGCGTTCTAGTTAGCACTTGGTCGATTGCAACGCTTTTGGTGGCGGTTGCACGGACAATCCGGATAAGGCGGTCGACCTCTTCCAAAGTGTCCAATTAAAACTCACTTGTTTTTCTATGTCGCAAGGCTCAAATTTTAAAGCGCCGTGTGTCGCGTTTGGATTACCATAAACCAGTACACCTCGGGCGGTCGCCGATCTTTGCATACAAAAACCGAGTGCTAGAAGCGGGTGCGGCTAGAGGCGCGGGCAATCCCCGTTCAATGTCGCACTCTATGAGCGAATGCCAGCGCGCGCTCGCCGCCGCCCGAAGCCAACAGCCAATCAAACGCAAGATCCAAAAGCATCCGAGAAAGTCAGCATCACTACTTCATTTTCACACAAGTCGCTGCCATGACCTCTACCTTTGGCGACCAGTCCATGGGGTCGCTCGTCTGGGTACCGCATGAGACCGAGGTCTGGAAGAAGGCCCAGGTCGTCGAGAAGCCGACCGAGGCGACGGTCACCGTGCGCCTCATCGCCGACGGCGACGACTACGACCCCGAGGACGGCGTCGTCAAGACCTTCGACATCGCCGAGATCGCCAAGCTCGCGGGCGAGGTCTCGGCCACCGCGATGCCCATCTGCAACTCGTTCGAGAAGCTCGGCGTCGAGGACATGTGCACGCTCAACCATTTGCACGAGCCGGCGGTCTTGAAGAACCTCCAGCTACGCCATGCGCAGAGCATCCCGTATACGTACACGGGCCAGATCTGCATTGCCGTCAACCCGTACAAGTGGCTCGACCTCTACGGCAAGGTTCGTGCACCGTCCTAAGATGCAGGGCTCATCGTGGGCTGTTTTAGGAGCTCTATCAAAAGTACCTCGACCAGCCGCGAAGCGAACTATCACCACATCCATTTGCGCTTTCGGCGTCGGCGTATCTCGACATGCGCAAGCTGCACATCGAGCAGAGTATCCTCGTGAGCGGCGAGTCCGGTGCTGGCAAGACGGAGACGGTCAAGATCATGATGCACCACCTGGCGTCCGTGTCCGGCGTCGGCGAGAAGGGCTCGACCGTCATTGACCAGGTCCTCAAGTCCAACCCGCTCCTCGAAGCCTTTGGTAACGCCAAGACCAAGCGCAACGACAACAGTTCGCGCTTCGGCAAGTTTGCGCAGCTGCAGTTTGATGCGAGCGGGTACCTCATTGGCGCGCGCTGCGAGACGTACTTGCTCGAGAAGAGCCGCGTCGTCGGCCAGACCCAGGGCGAGCGCAACTACCACATTTTCTACCAAGTGTTTTCGCTCGCGTCGGAGCTCAAGAAGTCGCTCTTCCTCGAGGGTAACGTCGCCGACTACAACTTTGTCAAGGTCGGCGCTGGCTCGCGCGTCGACAACACGGACGACTCTGTGTTTCTCCAAGAGACGAAGGATGCCATGGACACGATCGGGATCGACGACCGCGAGCAGCACGGTATCTTTGAGATCGTCTCGGCCATCTTGAACCTCGGCGAGGTTGAGTTCCGCAAGGAGACGGTAGAAAAATGCTCCGTCTTGAGCCTCGAACGCGTCGAAGCCGTCGCCGCGCTTCTTAACACGGCGGCGTCGGCGCTCCAGGTGACGCTGTGTCAACGAAAGATGACGGCGGGTGGCGAGACGTACATGATCCCGCTCAACGTGGACCAAGCGGCGGACCTCCGCGACGCGTTCGCGAAAGGCATGTACTCGCACCTCTTCGACTGGCTCGTCGGGCGCATCAACCGCGCGATCTGCTCGACCAAGAACGTCGCGTCGCACATTGGTCTCCTTGATATCTTTGGCTTCGAGTCGTTCGACCACAACGGGTTTGAGCA